AAAATAACCTACTAATTATATACTATATTTTCAGTACCAAGCAATGGAGTCCAATATCAATCAATGAAGTACAAACTAGAAAACAAAATCATTACATCTTAGGAACAAATCAACCAGGTAAAAAGTGTTTCTAATTTAACTCTGTATTTTTTCATAGAAAATAGATTAATTTTAATTATGATTTTTATAATGAAATTTATACTAGATTCAGTTGATGAATGAATCATAATGTATCGTCTTATCCAGGTGATCATTTAGTGGGAGAAGCTTATGATTCGCATTCCTGGCCAACTCCCCAAGATGTTGAGATGACTTTAACATATCCTTCCGAAGGCGAAGGAGCAATCTTAACCTTTGTTGATATCAAAATTACCCAAGATACAAAAGACGGGGAAGTTCATGTTGTGAGTGGAGGAATTGGTCAGAGGGAAATCAAAATAGTAGTCAGTGCATATGATACCAGAACTTTTAATTACAATTGTGAATGGTATGGTTTTTAAATAAATAAATTTTAATTTTTTAATGAAAATTTATTGTTCTTCAATCAACTTAACATCATGCAAATTTCCAGACAAGAAAACAAGAGATACTTGTGAGTTGATATTTAAATATAAATGGGGAAAAATCTTTATTGAAAATTTCGCTTCCGAGCTATGGTTTCTTTAAAAAAGTTAATTTTTTATTGACTCGAAATATTCTTCCTGGCTATGGTTTCTTCATAAATTTTCTTGAAGTAACTTATAAATCCAGAATTGCAAAGTTTCCCAATGACCAAAAAATGACCCTCACTAATATAAGATGTCGTTTGATATAATAATCATGTAACTATGAGAGTTTGTTTCATACAAAGCACAGATTTCAGATTGTTTTAAAATAATATCTAAACAAATAATCTTTTTTCTACAAAGATACTGACTTTTCATTATCGACAGATAAGAATTGTTTTCTTTCAAAGAATTAATTTTAGATCTATCTCGATCATTGGCACTGATTCATACCAAAATTGATAATATATAAAACCGTATCATCCTGACATGATATTATATTAAAAGATTGTACAAGATACATTGATAATACATTAAGTTTTTGCGATGTGACAGAATTGGATTAGTTTTTTTAGATAAAAACCGGATGTGAGATATGGATAATCTTAGAATACTGATAGAATTTATATATAAAATAAAGGCAGTGTGAATTTTGCATATATTTTATAGTAGTTCCATAAGCTTCTGCAACCATGTACAAACTTCCCACATTTGTGGTATTATGCTCTTTGGCGGTTTCCATGTGTGTGCCGGTGGAAAACTCAGTAAATATTGAAGTATTTGCTGATAAAAGGTTAGTTTATGAAGACTTTAATAATATTTATAAAAATCGTTTATTTAGATTTGGACTGTGATTGAATTTTATTATTTTATTAGTGAAATTTTGGCCAAGTATCCAGATGCCATACCAATGAACGAAGAAATCATTGCTGTTGATGGAGCAAGAGGTTCAAAACTTTACACATATGGACAAAGACAATCAGGTAGTAATTAATTAGAATTTTAACTCGACCTTTAAGTAACTAGAGAATCAGATTTGCTAATTTTGTTTCCTGGAATTTTAAGTTATTCTGAATTGTTAAACAATTCAATTGATACCAAAGTTGATTTGTGATACTCACAAGTGAGCCAAAACTTGGGTGCATCGATTTCAAAAATTTAAGAGTTGTTTGATGAATTACTGGATAATGACTCGCAGTGATTAGTTTTGCCTAACTATCAGCCAAGTTGTTTCTATATAATCCACAGATTACGAATTCCAAAACCTTTGGATTTTGCTGCTGATTAGCTTTTGCTAAGACATAATGCTACTTAATCTAGATTTTCCAGTTCCAAACGTTTAGATTAACATAATTTTTATAAAATGATCATTTATTAAATAATTATTTCTCCGTAGGTGATGTACTTGTCGATTCGCCTTCCGATTTTTTCACATCGCCTTTCCCGATGGACATGTCTTTGGCAGCAAGCCATCCCAAAAAAGGTTTGCCTGGATATCCAGTTACTTATGTTAACATTTTGGCCGTCCACGATGGAGCAGGAAGTGCAATGATCATTGGAGGCGGTATTGGTCAAAAACAGATGCATGTATTGATTAGTGCGACATCTACATACACCTTGTCTTTTGCTGCTCAATTTTATGGATTTAAAAATGTTTCAACAATTTACTCTTAGTTTATTTAGACGTTATTCTGACTAATTGATTATTTGATTAGATTGATAATGTATGTGATAGTTTACACGGAATAAATTTAAAATTAAATCTGCATATTCTTTTAGACTCAATAAGGGTGCTTCCATACTTTTCTTTCATCTAAGGGTGCGTCCATTAATCACGTGAGGCTTTTAGGGGGAGGGTGGTTTTTAGAGGGAGCGGTTTAGTAAGATATCAATCTAAATTTTCAAAATAAAAACAAAAATTTTACGTTTTTGTCGTAAGTTCGAAAAATTTGTTCGCAAAATTTTACGTAACTAAAACTACACGTGATGTTTGTGGAGGTGGAGGGTTAATTATAAATATCGAACGTATTACTGTGGGGAGGGGGCAAAAATTCTTAAAAAATTGATCACGTGATTGATGGACGTACCCTAACAAAGTATATTACGGTTTGTATACGAATTGCATACAACTTCACCATTATTTTACTTGCTAGTTGCGCATTTCCTCTGCAGTGGCGCGAATGTAAATATTGTTCAACATCTCCTGACTTATAGTGCAAACTGACATTCAAAAGTGAGCATAAAAAGTTTTATCTTTAAAAATGTTTCATTCTGTGTTTGTTGGAAGTTGGAAGACCTTTCTGCAGGTTAGTAGATATAATATAATAATGTCATTTATGCATGTGTATTGTATAGCAATATAAATTGAATCAATGTTAGGAAGGGCCTTTTATTTTGTTTGAGGCATACGGATTTCCTAGAATATGGGGGCATTTTAAGAAATTTGTAAAAAACAGAAATTTTACAATGTGAATGTATGAATGCAAAATATTTCTTATTGTATAATTATCCTAATTCCGTTGGCGACGACAATAAATCAAATTCCAAATTGTATCGTTCATGTTAAAAATAGTGTAAAATGTATAAATGAAATGCTTATTCAATGCCCCGTGAAAACAGGATTATAAATATATATATATATATATATATATATATATATATATAGTGTTTTTTACCTCTTATTTCCTTAAAATAAATTTTTCCTCAGACTTAAAAGTATATTAAAACATTCGATACAAAAGATCGAAACTGCTTAGTCTCAGAAATAGTCGAAGCATGAAACAGTCGTAGTTTAGTATAAAATATTTATTATTGTATTTACAGATAAATATTTTACAAAAAATGAGTTACAATGATGTTGATTTTTTGTTACATATATACAACATATATAATTTGATCAGGTATATTCTGTTAGTAATATATTTTGTATCGTTATTTAACTATTTATTTGCAATTTTCCATTTAACATAGCTGCTTATTTTTATTTATGATAAATATATTTCAAAAATTCGAAAAGAATCAATTTAATATAAAATAATTTCAATTTAAGAATTATTTTGCGATAAATAAGTCAAACAAAATATATATGTGTGTGTAACAATTAAATAATTATGATATAAATAACATGCAATTTATACATATACTCAATGAAAATATTTTTGAGTATGTTATATTTGAATACTCATATGATATATATATATATATATATATATATATATATATATATATATATATATATATATATATATATCTCTTTTGTTTTTTAACAATTTTTAGAAAGTGCAAACAAATACATCACTTAAATTCACAATGAATAAAAATAAACTAGAACGTACGCATGCAAACATACACAGCTTACACAAACAGACAAAAGATATTAATCTCTTTAAATATATAAAAGTATTATTTATTATACAATTTTTGAGTTTGCACAGTCGAAATTGGAATGTTTTTCACCCACAAGTGTAACGGCTTTGTCTTTGATAAATTATAACAAATATAAAGATAGATTTTCTACTGTAATGTGGTAATATAAATATATTCAATTTTATTCACTTCATAATGTAGATATGAAAACAAAGTTCTATCTCGTGTAAATAAATCTATTTGAACAATTTGATATAAAACTAAAATAACACCTGTAGTAACATAAATTATATTAACATTTGAACAAGATAATAAATTTATTTTTATTTACATCACATTTTGTTATCAATAATATCAATTACCAAAAAAAAACTTTCAATATATTTAAATGCAATCCTATGTAGTATTTACATTAAATATATCCTTACAATATTTTACATTTTCTAAATTTATAAATACTCAGTGAACCAAAAATAAATATTTTTTTTGAAGGCTCCATTTATTATTGTATGAAATTTACTAAATCGAGCTTGTGTAAATATTTTTGGTCTCAGAAAAATATATTTAGCAAATTGTTATTTGTGCACTATGTAATATAAATATATTCAAGATTTGAGTATTATGGGTCTTTTAAGGCACTTATTATTACAAATAAGCTGTCTTACTTTATTTTGTGTAATGACTGACAATAATTTGTAACTATTCAGAGGATTCCTGTGTTAAAGGCACTTTTTTATATTTTCAATATAAATGAATGGCTTTACTCAAAATGTTAGGCAGTCATTAAATAGAAAATTATTTGAAGGAAGCGCACATTGCAACGATAAATTCATATTGTAAAAATACATGATATAAAATTAATTCATATCGTTATTGCAACATTAGAGATTCTAAATTTCTATGCAGTATTGTGTCTTTGACAGAATTGAAAACAACTTCAATATTTTGTGTATCCACCGCAGTTGTAAAATGGTGGTATAAAGACATTTTGGGATTTTTCTTAACTCTAGTAAACATTGATAATATAAAAGCCTGTACATCATGCACAGAATGTGAATTACCAGTGAACTGAGGATAATACCAGCGAATATCAGTATCAGGATTTGTTACTTTTTTTACCAGCAGATCTGATTTATTCAAGAATAAAATTATGGAAATTCCACTGAAGTGTATGTTGTTGACTATAGTATCAAATATATTCCTGGACTCCTCGAGTCTATTGGTTTTTCTGCAATAAAACAATAGTAATATGTCATATGCTGAAACAAGTGATGGAAACAAATAAAAACTAATGAAAATTTCAAGTTTAATGAAAATAATCATTTGAATGCAATGTGAAAACTATTAAAGTTTGAAAAATGTTGATGGGATAATTTACTATTTATTAAAGTTATTCTTTATATTCATTTTGTAACTTGATTGACATTTTATTCATATTTATATTTTTCATATATTTCTGTCACTAGGTATTCATATATTACCTGTCCTCTGATAAAACCTGATCAAACTCAGAAGAGGAGACTAGGAAAAGTATTGATGTGACAGAATCAAAGCATTGTGTCCATTTCTGGCGTTGTGTCCTTTGGCCACCAACATCAACAAACAAAAATGGTATGTTATTAATTCTTATTGAGAATTCAAAAATTCCTTTTGTGGCTTTCCGACAATGCAAGATATCTTTGTGTGTTGGTAAATAATCATTGCATGAAATGCGCTTTATCTCATCCAGGAAATATTGTACTGAATCACTCTAAAAAGATAATTATATAGTTCAATCATTTCAAATTTAAACTCAGAAATATAAAAGAACTAAGACAAAAATGACATATTGTCTATGTAGGCAATTAAGTAGTTTTATGAATAATAAGGAAATATGGATTAACTATATTGTATTTTTGATTGTGCTCTTAAACCAATCGCTATGAAGAAATTTCATAATACTCTTGCATCATTTATCACTAATGTTTTACAATAAAGGGTTGCACAAATCAGAATGCACTCGGATAATGTAATATTTATATTGCTGAAATAAATATGTGATTTTGAGACACTTACAAGCTGAAATTCCCTACGCCTGTCATAAGCTTGCTTTATTGCTTTGTCTTGCCAAAGCATTTCAATTGGCCTAGAATATTCTTGGAATAATTTCATGTCAAGATTGTGCCCAGTAAGAAACGTCCTGACTTGGTCAGAAGGCACTTGATTTGAGGGGCACTCCCATTTAATATTTAATTTGTCCCGTGCATCAATGAGCACCTGCATTCCTCTAACAATATTTTGATAAATGACATGTTGGTATTCCTTAATAAGTTCTGGCTCGAATTGAACGCCGTGGATAATTCGCATTTGCTTCAGAAAAGTAGATTTTCCACTTTCACCCGCGCCTAGAAGCAACAGTTTAACTTGGCGTTTATAAGTCTGTTTATCTTTTTCGATGACACGATCAATTTCCCGACTTTTCATACGCTGTTCTATCTCTTCAGGTGTCAATTTAAAGCGTAGCCAGCATGTAAATGCCTCTGGACAACAAGAGCACGACCACATTTCGGTAGCCATTTTAGCCACAGATTCAGTTTATAAGCGTAAGTTTCAGCGATCCACTTATCCCTGAGGTTCGTATTTAACACCATATTAACTGTTTCTTGATCTAAGGCACATATTTAATCACAATGGTGTAACCTTATTCTGTAGCTTACGTATCCTGGTATGTTTTAATTACACCTATTACTCACGCATAAGTCACACACTCGCGCATTCAAAAACAAAAACAACTAATTTGATTGGTTGTGAATTGACTTCAGGCTCATTGTGTTGTCTAATCTGAAGTATTGCCAGATCTAACACTCGGACAACATTTGTGGCTCGAAATTTGAATTTGATTATTTGAACTATTTATTTTTATGATTCTCCTTTTAACACTAACTATTTAAATAATTATTTAAAAAAACACAGCATCTCCAGTTAAGACATTTTTTACTATTAAGAATCACAAAAGCATTTTCTATTTCAAATGAAGAGCTCGTACTTTGGATTTTTCAAGTCTAAAGAAATAAGAAAGATCAATTTTTTTTTATAAAATTTCAATCTTAACCAAGTTTTATCAAAGCGTAAATTACCATAATACATTGAAGGTAAAATATTTAAAAGTCAATATCGCTTGAAACGACTATCGGCACTTTATCTTATTTATGTACTAATTCCTCTAATTTCGATCCCATAATAATTTACTTCAAACTTGCGTATTTTTTCTTAAGAACATGATCTAATACTAGGTTTGGCACTGATAACTAGAATAAATACTTTAATAATTATGTATATTTGCATAATGAATAATACAAAATTCCGCCTTAACACTATCCAAGCGATAAGTACAAGTATTAATAATATTTTATAGGACAAAATAATATGCCTAATTTAAGAAAAAACAAAGTACACTTCAAGATCAAAATATTACGGTGTTTATAATAACATAATTTTCTTCTGGAGATTATTGACCTGTAATATTTTCTTATTTCAACATGTAAGCACGTTCTATGAATCATAAATCGGAACATCATTCGCTTCTTATAGGATAATATTTCTGAGAATACCGTTGTACAAATAAGGTTCGAACATGTTCATTTATTTTTGTTAATTGAACAGGTCGAAGTTTTCTATGATATTTAAAACACATGTAAAGTATTAGATAATTATTTGATTTAGTTATTTCAAATATTTTTAGAATAATTACACGATGTTCTTTCATATTATAAACGCATCTATGCACACCTACTGTAATCCAGATCATTATAATGATATCAATTAAAGTTCTAAATGGATTATTATCATTTTATTTTTAGCAAGTCTAATTTTCAAACATTTTTCCTTTAAACACTTCAATGGTAATATTAAATTTCCTTCAATTTTAACAGTTCTTGAAGAAGGAATACATTCCATATACATCTTGAAAATATCTTGAAAACATAAATAATTATAAAGAAAAAATTAAGTAAATATTTTTTTGAAAAAAAGGAAAGGGTTCAGAGTTCAGTAAAATGAAATCATAAAGAATGTATTTTATATATACACATATTCATCATAAAAATATATAGCTTGTTTTTGATTTTTATAAAACGCCTCTTTTTTTTCAAAAAAAAATTATAATTATTTCTACGTTTTGGAGTTTTAAGATATCTATTCTTCGGGATTAACAAAAAACGAAAGTTTTTATTTAATCTCACGTGTTTATGCAATTATATAAACACTCGCTAAAAATTAAATTATGAGTTCAGAAAAATAAAATCATAATATTTTGTAACGACAATAGGCATATTGTAATGTCGACAAAAGGTTGCATAACCCTCAGTGCAATATAAGGTCAAGGTCGAAAGTTATAGAAGGTCATTAAGAAATATAACATCCTCTGGGGAGGTCCACCGGATCTAGGCTCGAGCCCTTAGATTTTTTGTTAAAAGTTAAATAATAAATGATCATAAATGATTGTTGACTATGTTAAAACTCAATATTTAAAAAATAAAATAATTTGAAAGACCTTACAATAGGCATATTGTAATGTCGCCAAAAGGTTGCATAACCCTCAGTGCTAAAGCCATCTCCCCACCAGCCTCTACTAGGGTTCTTGCAATATAAGATTAAGGTCAAGGTCGAAGGTTATAAAAGGTCATTAAGAAATATAACATCCTTTGGGGAGGTCATAATAATAATAATAATAATAATAATAAATGATAAATGATCATAAATGATTGTTGACTATGTTAAAACCCAATATTTAAAAAATAAAATAATTTGAAAGACCTTCTACTATCACCTATAATTTTTTTACTTACATGAATCAGTGTATAATTATTTTTTCAAGGTACTTAGGTAATATATTTAACCTGTTTTAATATTTAAATATTTTTTTAGCAAATATGTGAACGATTATGAAAATACAGGAAAATTTTTACATATTGGTTTATCTATAATAGGCGTCTCATGGTAACACGATTTGGAGTGAATGATAAAAATCAACGACACCCAGTCGTTGTGATCGAACGATAATTGTGTGTCATAAAAAGTAAGTTTGACGTGGAAAATAATTATATTTTATAATCAATTTAATGATGATTTTATTTATTTGTGAAAATATATTTCTCACGAATTGTATTGGAACAATTAAATAGATTAGGATTTTATAATTGCTGCTTAGATTTTAACAAGCCCTTTTAATATTCATCCAAGTATGTGGCCGAACTATCAAGATAGTATTTCATCAATTGAATGAATTGAAATTATGAATAAGAATGAATAATTGAATATACAAATTTTATTGTGCACTTAAAACCAATTGTCCTGTGAAAATCGTCATAGGTTTAATGTATTTTGTCTGGTCTTTGCGATTTTAATAAAGCATTATGAATAATAATAATGTATGTAATTTACTATTGCATATAATAAATGATAATAGCTATTGCATTTACGAGTAATAGTTAGTAGAAAATAATGAGGTTGACTGCAAACGTGTACTTCTGTTTCAATTTCAATTTCAAATGTGCAATTATTAAATATTCCTATAATCAGTATAATTTTTAATATTTTTAATAATTATTCAGATGAAACATATAAAGTTATAGATGTAAATTTTATGTTCTGTGAATCTTATATTTATTCTAAATTCTAAAATTTATTCTAAATTATATTTAGGATTCACAGATCATATATTTTTTACGTGTATAAATTTTACAACAATAAAATATCGAATTACCTAATACTCTTCAATGTTCAATATGATTTCTAAATTTTTGTTAATTATTTAAGATTCACAGAACATATAATTTACATTTAAACTTGTGATATGTAACTTATTCAATTGACTAATAACTTAGAATAAAGTATGTAAACTATGTTTTTTATATAATATTTATTTTTAACTATTTCGGAGTCCTAGAACATAAAATTCACATATATAACTTAGAGCAATAATAAAATATCGAATTATTCAAATTTCTTAAAATTCAGGCAATTTTCTTATTTGCTGAATTTCTAAGCATATTATTGTTAATTATTTAAGATTCGTAAAAAATAATATTTACATGTAATATGTAACTTTTAATGTAAATTATATGCGAGGTGAATTTTATGTTAAATTATAATATAAATTATATTGTTATAATGTCATATAATTCTGTGAATCCTAAGTACAATCAACATTAAAAATTACAAAATATCTCGAATTTTAATAGTATTTGTTTGTTTGATAAATTGAATTTGTCAAAAAAGTAGTTATCCTTATTATTTCCTATAAATAATTTTTTCTATACAATAGTAAATTACATACATAAATATTAAGAAAGAACTACAATTATTGATTTTAAATTAAACATTTTGAATTTTTTTACAGCAAATTTGAACTAGAAATACTCGAATTATGCTATGATAAATCATAATATAAAATCATCATATAAAATAATGCTGATGCAAACTAAGAAGATCATACCGTTTGTAAATAAAACTATTCCAAAATACACATTTCTTTGAAGTTTCATAAAGCTCAATGTTTATATAGGCCTACAGAATATTTACTTATTTCATAATTATAGATTTGTAGAGAAAAAGCAAGTCTTATTAAAATACTCGACAAGGCAACTAGAGTCGACTCTAGTCTTATGGTATAGTTTGCATCATTATATGATTTATTATAAATGAAATGCGATGTAATCCTAGAGAAATTGTTAGAAATGCTCTCAAAATTTTCAAATTTGCTCTGAAAAAATTTCAAAATGTTTAATTTAGAATTTATTACACTAGTATTACCGAGATTTCAATGGTTAACATAATTTTGCTAAGCATTTATGTACATAGCGTGGTATACACAATCAAAAGTCTAGATTTAGTAAATAAATATTTAAGTTATTTGTTATAATTCCATTGAATCCAGTTTATGCAGACACCTACAGTACGATTTTATGTTTACCTTATTAGCGAGCATGTTTTGCATATATGTGACTTTACTCTCGCAAAAGTGCCTTGTTTTGCACATATGAGTTTAATCTTGTATCCGTGCGACTGGCGATAAAATCGAAACCGCCAGATCACATCTAGATAATTTAATAAACAGTGTAGTAAACAATATTTTCAATGAACTGTTCAATAGACAAATATTATTGATACAAAATTTATCTTTAACGATATATTAATTACTGTTAATTAAAATCATATCGCACCCTGATCAAAAAACAAGTACATAATATCTCGTTGTAAAGAGATTATAATTTGGTATATAAGAATATGAAATTACTTGATTGAGCATATTCATTTTGAACTGCCGCATGACAGCCATATAAGCTATCATAATTAAAAGTGCTTTTACCGTTTAGTATTCTTTTAGAATATTAACTAAACAATCATCATGAAATTCTACGGTTTAATGTTTGTGTTGTGTTTTGCAACTCTTTCCACATGTCTACCAGTGGACAAGTCCGTAGAAGTTGAGGTTTTCAGCAGTGAAAGGTAATTATTTTTTTGAAATTTATTTAACCATTTTTATTGTACTTTATTATAATATAAATATTTAATTTATATAGCGAAATTCTGAAGAAGTACCCGCAAGCCAAGCCCGCTGACAAGACCCACATTGATGATGGTAAAGCTACTTATGAATTTGGGGAGAGAGTACAAGGTAAGCAATTTTAATTATTTTATAATTTATAATTTTTAATTTATAATTAATTTGAGATCAGTAACTCTACAAAATTAACATTCAGACTAAAAGACATTAATTTAAGTTGATCATATTTTTTCATTTCAAATCCTGAACAGTAAATTGTAGTTATGCTATCCATTGATATGATATAGGACCAAAGTTAAATATGAATATGAATTATATTTTTAATAAAATTATATATAACAAGTTCCATTTAAGGAGTTCCAAGTTCCATTTCTCTACAATGCATTGTAGAGAAAAGTATGTACTCAGAAATTTTTAGAAAAAAAATTATTCATACAAAAAAACTGATTTTTAATGTATCCTTAAATGGAACTTGTTATATATAATTTTATTAAAAATATAATTCATATTCATATTCAACTTTGGTCCTATATCATATCAATGGATAGCATAACTACAATTTACTGTTCAGGATTTGAAATGAAAAAATATGATCAACTTAAATTAATGTCTTTTAGTCTGAATGTTAATTTTGTAGAGTTACTACGTCTACTTATATTCCAGTCATTTAAGCCTAAATTAGGTAAGAATCTTAGAATTGGAGATACCCAGCTGTAAGTCTGTAAATACTTGTATATTGACACTAAAAAGTTGTCGCAAAACCTACACATGGTAGGGTGTACCTATCATTTGTAGGTTTTGGGTATCTCGAATTCCGAGGTGAACTTACTATAATGACTGGACTAATAGCAATCAATCATCGTATGAATTTTAGTACATTTTTTTCATAATTACCTTTAGTAAAATATATAGTTTTGGTGTGCATTTTTCAACTTCTAACTTATCGTTTGTCTAATGAAAAATTTAGCCAGACAGTCAGAATTTTTTTTATAATTTTTGTGAATATCAAAAAGGTAGTTTCTGCTCATTAAAGTGAAGCAATTTAATCAAACTTTTGGTTTGTGCACTCAGCAATTTTCTATTTGCTTCGCTTTTTTGTTTAGTTTCATTTGAACATACTCATGATATATATAATATATTATTTTAAGATATTTGCTGGGTTATAATTTTATTAAAAAGTAATTGTAGAGATACCCATATTTTTCAAAAATCCGGTGCAATCCTGAACATATGAGGTCCAATACCAGGACTCTTCCCGCTAATCCGAGATGAATAGTCTCGATTGATACCTTTTATATCCTAAGAAATTAAAAAAAAATATTTCTATCAATATATTAATTATTATGTCTTTCCCAGGCGACAAATTGATGGTCGGCGCAACTGATGTATACAACGCCCCAACCCGCCAAGATGTTGCCCTGAAATTCAACTTCCCCGGAAAAGTACCCTATTCCGTCACCTACGCCTCTGTCGAAGTCCTACAAGATTCTGAGGTCGGACAGGCTTTCATCGTCTCCGGAGGAATCGGCCAATCTGAAATCCATTTGGCTGTTGTAGCTGACAAAATTAAGCAAGTCCAATATACCTACGAAATCTACGCCATTGTCTACGTTTAAAATCCTAAAATGACTGAAATTGTACGCTTAGATGGTATTAATCATAGAAGTAGGTGAAATTTATTCATAAATTTCACTCAAATTAACATATTTTGATAATAGATTTATTATTATAATGATAATTTAAAATTGATAAAATTACATCTTCTATTTGATAGATCAACAAACATCTAATGTATTATTTTATGAATTAACTACTGTAATTTTTTAACCTTTTGTACTTAAAACAAAATGAAATATATTATATAAAATGCAATATGTTCTTCTTATTTAAATAATTAATAATAATTAAGAATAGTTATTCTTTCATGCATTTATAAATATTTTCCATGTATAACTAAAATAAAGTATATAGTTTTATGTTAATAAATTATACATAAAACTATAATACTTATAATATATGTAAAATATTTACATTATTCAGTAATTAAAATTATTATTTAAATATTTAAGTTATTATATCCTCAAGTGTTCTTTTTATTGTTTTCTTGACCTCTGGTACAGTGACCATATCCTTAAATGTTATTTGTTATTTATAATTTTTATTACCAATTTAGCCATCAGTAATCCTAAACAAACTAGCTGAACAAATCATACAAAGATTGTCTCATATTTTTTAATTTGTTTTAATGAGTTTATTCATATTGACTCTAACCTAACGGCCTCATTTTATAATCATAAAAGCTTTGACATGATTTGGATCCTTTACAACATGTTTATGATCATGACACACTTGAAGTTTAATATTTGAAAAAATAAGACATTTATTATCTTCTTTATGTATTAATATCTTGAACGATAACAATTAATTGAACCTTGTTTTTATAAAGCGGTTAAGGTAATTATGCTATAAGCTATGTATATGTATAATTATAAGGATGATATTTTTTGATAACGCAGATAAGTTTTTTTTAATTTTTTATTGTTTTTTTAACAGCAATCAGAACTTGTTTCATAAGCTGTTGGGTTAATTGGACTGTAAACAATCTTTAAAGCTTTTAAAATTTACCAGGCACCCATGCCTGATTGAGATATGAAAATATTAATAAATAAATGAAAAAAAGAATAATGTCTAATCGTTAGACTGATTTATATCGCAAAATAAAAGAAATCAAAGTATTATATTTATTTATAAGTTTGAATATTTAGCACTAACGCTCTAACAATTTTTAAAAATGTAGAATTTGTTGAAAGTTGAAATTTGAATTTAATGCGTTTTCATGAGACAATATTTAATGTTGGCGTTACTGATAATTTTTTCGACTTTTGGCAACCATTTCTACTCACAATATGTCAAACAGAAGCCAAACATCAAAACTAGGTTATAATCCAACACAGATTTTTACTTAATTTTTCATGTTCTTTAATGTTTTAGTTTATTTTCTTTAGATTTAAATGTTTTTATTACATTGAGAACAACTAGAATTTTAATGACTGTATCCAGTAAAATGGGTGATATTAATATATCATTCCAAGAAGATGACATTGCGTACGAAGAAGAAATTTTACGCAATGCTTTTTCTGTAAAACATTGGTTACGGTATATTGAGCACAAAAAGAAAGCACCTAAGCACATAATCAACATAATTTATGAAAGGGCTTTGAAAGAACTGCCAGGTTCATATAAAATTTGGCATCAATACTTAAAACTTCGCCGAAAACAATTGAAAGGTCTATGTATAACAGATCCTCAGTTTGAAGAAGTCAATAATGTATTTGAACGTGCCTTGGTTTTCATGCACAAAATGCCGAGGATATGGATGAACTATTGTTCTTTCATGACAGATCAGTGTTTAATAACAAGAACTCGACAAGTGTTTGATCGGGCTCTGAGAGCATTGCCAATTACTCAACATCATAGAATTTGGCCCTTATACATTACATTTATAAAGAAACATGATATTCATGAAACTGCTATAAGAGTTTTTAGAAGATACCTTAAATTATGCCCCGAAGAAGCCGAAGAGTACATAGAATACTTGGTTTCTATAGATTGGTTAGATGAAGCAGCCATTCAGTTAGCTAAAATTGTTGATAGTGATACCTTTGTTTCAAAACATGGAAAATCTAATCATCAACTGTGGAATGAACTTTGTGAATTAATATCTAAAAATCCACATAAAGTACATTCACTAAATGTTGATGCTATCATACGAGGTGGTCTTAGAAGGTATACTGATCAGTTAGGACATTTATGGAATTCCTTAGCAGATTATTATGTGCGTAGTGGGTTATTTGAACGCGCTCGAGATATTTATGAAGAAGCAATTCAAACAGTTACTACTGTTAGAGATTTTACACAAGTTTTTGATGCATATGCTCAGTTTGAAGAACTTAGTTTAAGTAAGTGTATGGAAGAAGCTTCTAAAAATCAAAACCCCACTGAAGATGATGATATTGATCTTGAATTGAGACTTGCCCGATTTGAACATTTAATGGAACGAAGGTTACTGCTACTGAATTCTGTACTTTTACGCCAAAATCCTCATAACGTACCTGAATGGCATAAAAGGGTAAAACTGTATGAAGGCAAGCCTCATGAAATTATAAACACATATACAGAAGCAGTTCAAACTGTTCAACCAAAATTAGCTGTTGGTAAATTGTTTACATTATGGGTAGAATTTGCTAAATTTTATGAAAAAAATGGACAGATTGATGATTCAAGACTAGTGTTTGAAAAGGCTATTTTAGTTCCATATGTTAAAGTAGATGAACTAGCATCAGTTTGGTGCGAGTGGGCAGAAATGGAAATTCGTCATGAGAATTATGAAGATGCTTTAAAACTAATGCACAGAGCTACAGCAATGCCATCAAGGAAAGTAGCATATCATGATGATACCGAACCAGTTCAAATGCGTTTATACAAATCTTTAAAAATATGGTCAATGTATGCAGATCTAGAAGAAAGCTTTGGAACATTTAAATCTTGTAAAGCTGTATATGATAGAATTATAGATTTAAAAATATGCACTCCACAAATTATTATGAATTATGGACTATTTTTGGAGGAACAAAATTATTTTGAAGAAGCGTTTAGAGCTTATGAAAAGGGTATTGCACAATTCAAATGGCCAAATGTTTATGATATTTGGAATACTTATTTATCAAAATTTTTAAATCGTTATGGTGGTACAAAGTTGGAAAGAGCAAGAGACTTATTTGAACAATGTCTAGAAAAATGTCCTCCTCAATTTGCTAAATCATTATTCTTATTATATGCTAAATTAGAAGAGGAACATGGATTAGCTCGACATGCCATGGCTGTTTATGAACGAGCTACAGTTGCTGTACTACCTGAAGAAATGTTCCAAATGTTTAATATATACATTAAAAAGGCTGCAGAAATTTATGGTGTTCCCAAAACGAGACAAATATATGAAAAAGCAATTGAACTATTACCAGAAGATAAAGCAAGAGAAATGTGCCAACGCTTTGCTGAAATGGAAACCAAATTAGGTGAAATTGACAGGGCTCGAGCAATATATTCTCACTGTAGTCAAATGTGTGATCCTAGAATCACTGCTGATTTTTGGCAAACTTGGAAAGAATTTGAAATAAGACATGGCAATGAAGATACTATGAGAGAAATGTTGAGGATTAAACGGAGTATACAAGCTACTTATAATACTCAAGTTAATATGATGTCTGCTCAAATGTTAAGTTCAGCAAACTTATCTGCTGGTACAGTTGCTGATTTGGCTCCTGGTGCAAGAGATAATATGAGAATGTTAGAAGCAAAAGCTGCAGCTGAAATACAATCAGGAAATGCTGGTTTTGCTAAGCCTTCAAATATTATGTTTGTTCGGGGAGAAACACAAGGACAGCCAAATAGGGATGACAAAATATCTAAAGTTATTAATCCTGATGAAATTGAATTAGATATGGATGAAGATGATGAAGACAAGGAAGAGAATTCAGACACGGAACAGAAAGAAGGATATGAAGAAACTGCTGAATATAAGGATGCTCCAGTTCAAAAGCAAATAGTACCAGATAAAGTGTTTGGTAGTCTATTAACAAAACAGGATAATTAATATTGTAACTTAATTTTCATGATTATTGTAAAATGTAAATTAAAGCCAGATAAATCATTCATTATTTGTAAATAAATTGAGTTTCACATCAACAGTAAAAATCTATCTAGTAAATGTTTAATAATTTACTACCAAATTTAGTAGTAGGTGGAACAAACCAGAAAATTATTTCCTTTTTCAACCAAATTATTTGTAAACTTCTACAAGAATTAAAACCATAATACCATAAAAAATAATTTATTTTTGTTTGCTAAAGCTTTATAATTAAAAATATTTTTAAAATTATATTATTAACAAACAAATAAATTGGGATTATTGTAACCTATAATCTATAATATAGGAAAGTGAAACGTCATTCAAAACATCAAAATGGTTGATGTTAAACAGAAATAAATTTTATTATATTATTTCAATTAATATATTATTTCAATATATTATTTGAAAAATTAAATGTATAAAGTTATCTCAATCATTGCAAAAAATGTTTTGATGTTCTACATCATGTATAGTTCATTTTTGTAATGCAATTTTAAAAGGCCGTTAACCAAACCAAAGTTGATGCAATATTTTTAAAATTGCATCGTAACAAAACCAGTCTACGATGTTCAGCTGAAAAAAGAAACCGAAATAAAATTAAGAATTTATTTAAGAATTACATATACTATGAAATGTTTTAGGCAGTGGATAAGAAGGGATAATTGCTTACTGTGAAGAATGACGTGGTACTGCAATGCGATCAAGTCGTGGGAAAAATTTAAACGGTTTTGAAATGCTCTGGATTTGTTATTAATCGATTCATAAATATATTACAAGATGTGGGTGTTCGGATACGGTTCTTTAGTCTGGAAGGTAGATTTTCCATATGAGAAAAAATTGACAGGTTACATCAAAGGTTATAATAGAAGATTTTACCAACACAGTATAGACCACAGGGGAATACCACAAAAAGTATGTTATACATTCATATTTTCTATAAATTTAAATAAGTACCAAGTTACATCAATTCAATCTAACCTGCGATATTAAATCATGTATTCCTTACAGCCCGGCAGAGTAGTCACTCTACTATTATCAAAAAACAGTAATGATAAAGTGTGGGGTGTCGCATATAAAATAAAAGACTGTGATGTAGAAAAAGTAACTAAGCATTTGGATCATCGGGAAAAAAATGGTTATATTCGCTCCACTGTTAAATTTTATCCAAAGGAAAATAGTCAAGATAACAGTAAACCATTTGAACTATATATTTATGTAGCAACACCTGAAAATGAGTCTTTTGCTGGTGAAGCGAGCATTGAAGACATTGCACAACAGATATTTACAGCTTATGGACCCAGTGGAAGCAATAAAGAATATATTTATAATTTAGCAAATGCAATGAGAGACATTGGACCTGAGGCATATGATGAACATTTATGTGCTCTAGAAAAGGCTGTCAGAAGATTAGAGTATGGTGCATAATGTAATATATTTATTATATTCCAAAATTTAAAAATATAGGATAATACAAAAATTGTTTCTTTTATTTTTTTCATATTACACTTTATATTATTATATTATACTTTATAATATTTTATAAATATATATATTTTCATTTATTTACACTTGAACATAATACGATGCAATACAATATATAACAATTGTAATATTGTTATAAATGCAAGGTGTATTGCATTTTTATATAGCGCCGTTTTTCAAATTTATAATCGTGTAGATTTGAAGGTTGGTAATAATAGGTATTAAGTTGGTAAAAACTTCGTGTTTTGATTGGCACTCATTGTCATTTGATTTTCTAATCTTTTACACCACGTGCAATTTTTCTTCGAAATTAATAGAAAGTATTAATTTACTTTATTGCTTGTATTTTACTTATAAAATATTTAATATTTCAAAATGGTGAAAATAAGTAAGTTTTTGAAAATATCAAGTGTTGAATAACTATCGGGCAATAATAAATATTTTCCTAACCTCTTTTCAGAGAAAATGTCAAAGCGTCAACCAGCACGCTTAAGATACAAAATTGAGAAGAAAGTACGTGATCACAATAAAAAACAAAGAAAACTTAATAAAAAGAAACCGCCATGTAATTATATAAATAATTTTTGAAGCACTTATTGATCTAAAATAAAATTTAATAAACCAATTAATTTTGTTTTTAGCTAAGAAATCTAAGCTTATTCAAGTTCCAAATATATGTCCTTTCAAAGAAGACATTCTTCGAGAAGCAGAAGAAATGAAAAAAAGAAAAGAAGAGGAACAACAGAAGAGACGAGAGCAACTCAAACTAGAACGAGCACAGCAAAAAAAGACAACACTAGAACAAATGGTTTCACATAATTAAATGCAATATAAAATATGTCCTTTATATATTTAACATATATCAACTAAATTGTATCAGGTAAACAATGCAGAAGTTAGAGGACAGATACATACTGCTTTAGAAGTATCAGGTGTTGATAATCAGAAATATGGAACAGATAAGAAACAAGAAAATTCTTTAAAGGCATATTATAAGGAATTTAAAAAAGTTCTGGATGCAGCTGATGTTATATTAGAAGTTGTAGATGCCAGAGATCCATTGGGTAAAAAATATTCAATAATATTTAATAACTTCAGTAGATTATTAGTTTTATATCTGATAGCAATTTAAACTTTTATTGTATATAATTGCATCATTGTCATTTTATCCACTTTCTACACAGGAACACGATGCACACAGGTTGAAAATGCTATTAAAGCTGCTAAAAACAAGAAACTTGTTTTAGTTCTTAATAAAGCAGGTATTTAAATGAAAATGACATTCTTTTTATTTATAGCTTTTTTATGTATGTATATATTGTTTCCATTTTTAATTATAGATTTAATACCAAGAACAAATCTAGAAAAATGGTTAAAATATCTAAAACAAAGTGTACCTGCTGTTCCTTTTAAAGCCTCGACTCAATCCCAATCAAATCAACTGGGAAGAAGGAAAATGGCACAATGCAAAAATGAAAAAGCATTACAAGGTTTAGTTATCAAATACTATCTTTAATCTTTAAGTTTAGTGTTAAAGTCTTATGTTATCAATATTTAATTTAGTGTGACAAAATTACATTGTATGAGTAATAATAATCTCAAACACTTGTTGTCATTTTTATATAATTATTTTACTATTTTCTAATATAAATTTAATGTTCTTTATACTTAGGTTCAACATGTGTTGGAGCTGAACTTTTGATGTCCTTATTAGCCAACTATTGCAGAAATAATGGAATAAAGACGGCAATACGAGTAGGTGTTGTTGGTCTTCCAAATGTTGGCAAAAGTTCTCTGATCAACAGTTTAATTCGAAGCAGAGCTTGTAATGTGGGCGCTACACCTGGAGTTACAAAAGCAATGCAAGAAGTTCAACTTGATACAAAAATAAAGCTTCTCGATTCCCCTGGAATAGTTTTTGCTGATTCTAACAAATCAAATGATAGTTCCATTGCATTGAAAAATGCTTTGAGTATTGGTTCTCTTAAAGATCCATTTACACCTGCAAATGCAATTTTACAAAGAGCAGACAAAAAGATGCTTTGTAATTTATATGACATTGTTGAGTTTTCTACACCAAAGGAATTCTATGCTCTCAAAGCGGCTAGAATGGGTAAAATATTAAAAGGTGGAGTACCAGATCAAGCAGCAGCTGCAAGAGGTTTGCTAGAAGATTGGAATAATGGTAAAGTTAGATATTATACTGAGCCTCCATCTTCTGAAGGTGTCCATATAAGTGCAAGCATTGTGAAACAAGATGATGTAAAAGAATTTGATGTTGACAGTTTCCAGAGTATGGAATGTGAAACAATAGGTAATATTCATTTAATACATTTGGTTACCAGAATTCAATACTTTAAGAAGTTTTGTGTGTTATTATTCAAAATTAAGATCCCTAGCATTTCGATATAAGAAACTACATTAATTTTTTAATTAAAACTAAAATATTTCAGGTCAAATAAATTGTGATGATCAAGAAGGTATATTGATTGAGAGTACAGGACCAGTTGACATTTTAGAAAAGATGGACGAAGATGATGTAGCTGATGACTTGGTGAGTCACATGATAATAGTTTTATAACTTTTTCTAAATTTTTTGGTTTATTTTGAATGTGAAATTTGTTGTTCCCCAGATTTCTAGCAATATTAATGTAGTACAACAAAAGAAGAAGAAGAAATTACCTAAAAAGAACATAGAGACTAAGAAAACAAAAGTAGAACCAGTTTTATCATTGGTAGGAAATCAAACATTAAATAAGATGAAGAAGATAGAAGCAAAAAAAATCAAGAAAGCAAAACTAAAAAGTGCTAAACATGCTATGCAATTAGCTGATGTATTAGACAATGTTACACTAAAGATTTGAAATTGTGATTAATTTGTTTTAAAAATATACCTATTTAAGCTCATTTATGTTTTAATTACACCTTATCGCGCAAAAATTTATCTTTTCCCATTGCGAAAAATAATTCGCGCAGAAAATGTTGTGTGCCTTTGGATTACTGCTATCTTCACATCTAAACAGCTGATCCACATCAAATGTTAAACAGTCAAAGATTCGAGACACGTCGGCAAATAACCGAATATAATTAATTTTAATGGATTTGAATGTGGATAGTAGTATTGTATGAAAATCATTTAATGGAATTATTAACTAACATCGAAAAATGCGTTTTGCTTCGTGGCGTCGTGGGCGATTTTTTCGCATAGCCCTCGCGTCTTTGATAGTTGTACCACTTTTTTACATTTTATTAACATGGACAATACAGAAAGAAAGAAAATCTATATGGCCGTCAGCTTTTAAAAGTACTAGTAATAATAAAGATCGGCCTCAACTGGTCGAAGGTGAGACAACAAATTTTTCACTTGATGTAAATTATATTTTTTTTGAGGTTATATGAGTTTTCATTCAATTGCTGATTTCTTATTCATGTAGGATTGGGTAATTTCGAACCGAAGAATGCACTGATAAGAGAAGGACCAGGTGAAGGTGGTAAGCCCCATAACCTGAGGGAGGATCAACAAAATGATGTAGCTGAATCTGAATCACAGTATGGAATGAATATGGTATGTTCAGATGAAATTTCTTTAGATCGTACTATTAAAGATACACGACTTGAAGAATGTAAACATTGGAACTACCCAACAGAGTTGCCTAAAACTAGTGTAATTATAGTGTTCCATAATGAAGGGTGGTCTGTTCTTTTGCGAACTGTACATTCAGTTATTAATAGAAGTCCTGATTATCTTCTTCATGAAATATTGTTAGTTGATGACTTCTCTGATAAAGAGCACCTAGGTGTCAGATTGGAAAATTATATTAAACAGTGGAAAGGACTAGTTCGATTAATTAGAAATCATCAGCGTGAAGGTTTAATTCGAACTCGATCTCGTGGTGCTGAAGAAGCAACAGGAGAGGTTATAATATTTTTAGATGCGCACTGTGAGGTGAACACTAATTGGTTGCCACCACTTTTAGCACCCATTCACAGAGATAGCACTATTATGACAGTTCCGGTTATTGATGGGATTGATCATAAAACATTTGAATACCGACCTGTTTATGGTGATGGCCATCATTTCCGGGGTATTTTTGAGTGGGGAATGTTGTATAAGGAAAATGAGGTTCCATATCGTGAAACTAAGACCAGAGCACATAACAGTGAGCCTTATAAAAGCCCTACACATGCAGGTGGCCTATTTGCAATAAATCGTGAATATTTTTTGCAAATTGGGGCTTATGACCCAGGCTTACTGGTTTGGGGAGGAGAAAATTTTGAATTAAGTTTCAAGATTTGGCAATGTGGTGGAAGTATCGAATGGGTACCTTGCTCAAAGGTGGGTCATGTTTATAGAGGTTTTATGCCATACAATTTTGGCAAACTAGCAAAAACTAAAAAAGGACCACTTATTACAATTAATTATAAAAGAGTTATTGAAAC